TCATCTACTGTAGATATTCTATTTGTATTAAGGATGATGGCTTGCAGAGAGGGTCTTTAGAGTAAGACCCAATCATGATTTTATGAATTAGATGACCCAGCCAGTTAACCTGTGTGTGCGTACTTAAGCATACTTTCAATTTTAGGACAGACTTTCAATTTTTGTCATTTTGGTCCCCTTATTTTTTAACATCAACCTGAAAAATCAGCAAGATACCCCGTAGGTTCATGAATGGGAAATCTGCGTTATACTGTTGGACCCCTAGGTAATTTAACTCCCTGCTATCTACGGTGATTGGCAACAGTTTCATAATGATGTCTTTGTCATCCTTACTTGGAAATTTCATAGACTCAGCCTGGGATCTTTTGCATGCAAAGCCTTTGGGACCTTTTGGTGTATTAGAGAGTTACTAGAGCCCTATTGAAAGTGCATATATGCCCACCATTTATTCTTAAATACGTTCTGTTTTATCATTTGGAATCTGAGAAGGTGAAATGGGGAAGGAGCAGGATATGTGCTAGTTTCCAGAGGGAGATTTTACTTTACTTTTAAGCTCCTAATATATCCTAATCAAGTATGGAATTGTGTGTGTGTGTTGTGTGTAATTAACATAGGATGAACAAATTGCACTAAAAATAATAATTGTCACATATGAACCATGAATGCACAACCCATCCTGAGTGCCCTCTAGTGTTACGCAATGGCAGTTAAAAATATTCCTTTTTGGAATAATGCAGTCAAGTTATTTTATGGCTTTATTGATTTATATATTTTTGTTGGGGGGAGTTGGGGATATTTCAGTAAAGACATTTGGCAATGCCTTCCTATGAAACAATGAAGGTAATACTGAAAGAAATTTATATTACACCCCACTAAGAAGTAGTGAAATTTAAATATAGCTTTTATTTTACGGGTCAAGTATATATCGCCTCTACGACCAAAGGCTCTCATTTTCTAAAATGCTGTGACTACCTCGCACATGGGAATGATTTTTCCAGATGTAGCAGATATTTACCATCTTGAATGCTACGCATAATGGAGGAGGGAGGGTTAAATGACATGGAAATAATACTTTGCCTATTAGCAGCATGGCATTTTGTCTCTTCTGTAATAAAACTGAGATACACTCCCATACGTCTAATCTAATCAATTGCAGGATTCTTATCTCTGAGCAAAAAGATGCAGATGATGAGTGCATTTGCATCTAGTCTGGTTTGTGTAACCCTAACGCAGCTGTTTGCCTCATTGGGGTTGCTCTGCATTCTTGCTGGGTTAACTCAGCCAGTTCACTTCTTAAGGAACTGAAAACAGGAAATCGTCTGCCATGTGTGTAGAAGCTTCTAGTATCTTTTAGTGGTATTGCATTCTGTGCTCCAGTAAATGCTTCTGTGTATGGTGTGTGTATGACAAAGCATTTATTATGCTGTTATGGTGGCATTACAGAGCAAACAGCGCTAAAATAATCAATCAGTTAATGGTCTGTATGGCAGTTTGAATGTAGCACATTCATTGTGCTTATGTTCTTAGAAGGATGAGTTTATAGCTACAGTGTGTTGCATATTTTGCCAGAACTTAATGTCCTAAGCTGTTGCTGACACAAATAGATTTCTTTTAAAAATGCAGCTTCAGCAAAGTTTCCTCTACAGAAATATCTACAATATTTTTGTGCTAGGTCTCAAAAAGAGTGAAATGTTCAAAGATGACCCCCCTCCCCCGGCCAAAAAACCCCACTGACTTCAAGGAAGCATTTGTTTGTCTCTGTTGCCATATGTTTTCCTAACGTCAGCAGCAATTTTTCTCTCTTTATGTGTGTGAAAATGCATGTTGTAGTAGCGGCAAAGAGGACATGTAGCTAAAAGTTTTGCAAAGAAAAAGAAAAGGCTTTTCTCTTCTTTGTGGCACTTAGTACAGGACCAAAGGCAGATGTACTCTTTTTTAAAAAGCCTCTGAAAAAGGTTCTTCTTGAGCAGCAATCAGGCTCAAAAATCTAATGTATGCACCTTTTCCTTCCCCAGGCAATAAAAAAACCGATTATGTTAATTTCTATCAAGGTTTATGGGACTGCACTGGTGATGTTCCTGATGAACTGTCATTCAAACGTGGTGATGTTATCTACATTCTCAGTAAGGTACTGTATCCCACCCCTAATAGATAGGTATGGGGAGATAGCTGAAATAAGACCAAAGCAGACTTCAAGGTCGTCAGGAAATGGGCATTTCCTTTACATCTTTCACAGTCAGAAGTTCCTTGCACATTAATTATTTTGTCAATTGAATGTAACCACATTTGAAGTGTTATTGTGCAACAGGAATTGTCTTTAAAACTTATTTATCTCTGTTTGGAATCTTGGTTACCCACCACTAAGTAACTTCCCTCTGAGACAATGCTCTTTCTGCTTGTCAAATGTAGCTTTGTCAATATTGTATGGGGTGGGTGTGAGTGTGTATGTTTTACTTCCTTTTCTTTGGTATTTCTTGTATATGCTGATCTGGAAAGAGAGAGTGAAAGAGAGAGAGAGATTTATATTAGTAAACTTTCATTTCACCGTTTTGCCCTGAAGAAGTCCCAGGGTTCTGCATGTGTATGCACATGGGTGTGATGTGAAAATTCACTTGATTTTCAACATACCAATTTCTTCTTTTATAGTAACCACTCTATCTTCTGTTTTTCCCCCTACATTTTCTGAAAGAGACAAAATTCTGTAACATAGCGATTCATGTAAGACTGAAAACTTCACATTTGTTACATTTATGTCCCTATTTTATGGGAAGATAGATATAATGACAACTTGATCTGGGAGTTGGCTGCTGTCCTGAACTCAATAGAGCTACCTTTCAGATAAATATCCATGGAAGGTGTTCATGTTTTTCTGCCACAATGTGCAAGTCTTTGCAGAACCTTTTTCACTTCCTGCCAGTTTTCGGATAGCAGTAATGGGATCCAATACTTTCCTAAGAATGCCAGCAGTTTCCAGGCTAATGTGGTCATACTATTCTCTGAACCATGCCCTTCCTAATAGTAAAGTCCAAAGTGTTTCCCATTCAAGATAAGAATGGCTAGGGGTGATCCCAGAAGATGCAGGGTTACTAATAATAACTTGACAATGATTTTGTTCTTCTGTTTGTTGCAAATCTAACAACTAAGTTTTGTGAGTTATACTAACCCTGTGTTCTTTGTTTATTTTACCTGCCCTGGGATGAAAAGTCATTCTTAATCCCATATTACAGATGGAAAACTGGGCCTACAGAGTATGTTACTAAGTAGAAGAGTTTGATGCAAGGTTTCCTGAATGCAGATCAAATGTTTTTATCTCCCTCTTTCGCATTACTTAATATTAGGTGGCTAATGCTAGGCATAGAACTAGACAGAGCAATCCTCCTGCATGATATTTAAGAAGAAGCCCCTTTGAACAGAATGGAGCTTTTTTTCTAAGAGAAAGTGTATTGGATAGAAGCTTTATATTTAATGCTTAGCATTCAGTACTTGTCACTTAACTGAGTAAGCTAAGGGCTAATCCAATTTCTCGTAATTAAGCCCCTAAATGTTTTTAGGGCTTACCATTTTTAATAGTGAGATTCATAGTTATTTGACTCAGGGCTGAAAGTGTTCCATCATAAAAAGGAATATGGGTTGGAATAAATCTTTGTCTTTCTCTTGGTCTTCAGTACTTTGCTAAATGTACTTTGGGTCCTTGGCTTTACATCGTGATCTGTTGCAGCTTGCCTAGATACATGGAGATTTTTTTGGTCTGGAGTTATTTAATTTCCAAAGCTGAAAAGAAATTTAAATCAAAATTCAACCTTTTTTCAGTTTGTGTATTGCAGTGTTTTCGGCAAAATACAGTCTCCTGTCAGCCCTGAATAAAAATGCAAAGAATAATAATCTATCCAAAGTTCTGAGAATTATTAGTCAGGGAAAGAATTTAAGAGTGCTGCTAAGGTAAAATAATCTAAAGCCTCCTAAGCTTAAGGACTTGATCAAATATTTCTTGAAGCTGTAAATTAATGCTTTGGCTTTTTGGCACTTGGTGATTCTTGGGTTTTTTAGAAAAATAATTCTTTACCCCATCTAGTGGTTGAAAATGAGAGGTACAAACTGGAAGACGCTCATTAATGTGTGCTGTTCCAAAATGGTGTCATAAATTCAACTTCAGCCTGATCTTAGTTATTGCTTATTATCCTCTCATCATATATCAGATCCTTGTTGACATTAATTCTGGAGAAATCTTATTCTCATGAGAAAGAATTAAATGTAAGCATTATATGCTGTAGGAAGAACACAATATGAATTAAGAGATAAAGCACTAGTGCAGGAACAAAGTATTATTTCAACAGAACAGAATTAACCAAAGGAGTCAAAATATATTTATGGTACTCTTTGCCAATAACAACTTTGTGGAAAGTTCTGCCAAAGTGCTAATGGGTCCGGGCATCTTTATTGGCAGATTTCTCTTGTCCCCAGTTATGATAATTGTACTTTGATGATAAAAATATAGAATCTTGGGTAGGTTTAAAAAAAATCACATACTACCTTTAAGCAAGCTTAATTTATAGCTTCATTTATACATCTGAATACCCACGGCAAATAGTACCAATTGCGTACCATAGATGGGCACAAAGTATAAAAAATTGCAGAACTTTATACACAATTCAGTATCAAGCACTACAATATTACACACTAAGGTATAGTATAGTATACTATAGTAGTAACTGGAACTCCTGAGGATTTGATTGTGCAAATCCAGACATCCATATTTTGCAATTCATAGAGGAACCTTGAAAACAGTAAAAGTAATTTTGCAGAAAAAAAGATTCTGCATTCATTTTTAAAATACAATTGAAATAAATTCTGTGATGAACTTTTTATTTTTTATTAAAAGTCAGGTATCAAAATAGAAATACAGGGGGAAAACCCTGCCATGATTTTAGTGGTTCTAGGAATTTTTGTTAATAACTGGATGAATAATGATGTGTTGAGCTTCTTCAAAAGCAAATGCACATGAAACTGGAACAGCTGATTTAACATCCTGATGTTTCCATTTCCCAAACAACATGGCTGTTTCACAGTTATACAGGTAGTCCCCAGGCTGAGAACCAGGTTACAGACAACCCATAGTTAAGAACAGAGCCTATTGTAGCAAAATTCGAGTTAAATACACAATGATAAGAGTTAAATACACAGTGGTTCAAGTTAATTACACAATACTACTTATACAGTATTATACAATATATACTGTTCCAGCTTACATACAAATTCAATTTAAGGACAGACCTTGGGAAAACAGAGCCTATTGTAGCAAAATTCGAGTTAAATACACAATGATAAGAGTTAAATACACAGTGGTTCAAGTTAATTACACAATACTACTTATACAGTATTATACAAT